GGAGAGTGAGAGAAGACAGGTGGGGGAGAGGGGGGAGAGGAGAGGAGAAGGGGAGGGCAGAGAGGGGAGAGGAGAGAAGGGAGGGAGAGAGGAGAGAGAGGGAGAGAGGGAAGAGCGAGGGAGGGAGGGAGAGGAGGGGACAGAGTCACAGGGGAGGGGGGAGAGGGGAGAGAGGGGAGAGAGGGGAGAGAGGGGAGAGAGGGGAGAGAGGGGAGAGAGGGGAGAGAGGGGAGAGAGGGGAGAGAGGGGAGAGAAGGGAAAGGAGAGGGGAGGAGGGAGGAGAGGGGGGAGAGGGGAGAGAGGGGAGAGAGGGGAGAGAGGGGAGAGAGGGGAGAGAGGGGGGAGAGGGGAGGAGAGGGGAGAGAGGGGAGAGAGGGGAGAGAGGGGAGAGAGGGGAGAGAGGGGAGAGTGGGGAGAGGGGAGACAGGGAGCAACTGTTTTGCCGGAGAAGTAGTTTGGGAAGGCCAGCTTGGTCAACTTCCTTGCCCAAAAACAGTTGTGCGTTTTTTGGGGGTGTCTATATCCGGCTGTACCCAACTTATCTGCCAGGAGTTGACCAACTGGAGAGAGAGAAGTCCATGAAGGGCAGCCCGACGCGGCCAGCTGGAGCCGTGTTACAGCCCCTGTGAAGTCCTCCTCGAGCTTTTGACTCCTATCTTCAGGGAGTGACTGAAGCCAGGTCGCCTTGACACCAGCAACAACATCAGGATCCAGGAGGGCCTTTGCAGCAACATCACACTCCACCGGGTGTGGGCCCAGGCCCATGTCCTGCAGAGTGACCTCCAACCCCGGGAGGGTCTGCTTGAGCGCCCGGGAATAAGCATGTTCCATGCAGGAGACGTGGGAGGAGGACCCCCCCCAACGGCACCTCAAACAACCGGAGGGAGGACCAGCCTCCCTTTCGCCCCTAACGAGGAGCAAAGAGCCCAGGGAAAACATCAGGCAATGCCACCACACCACATTAACCCAGATGGAGGCTGTCTATAGGCCTCCGGTTCTGGCTCTTGCCCTTCCCGGGATTGCATCTGAGCTGCCCTCCACCCGGTGCTGCATCGTAAACAGTTGCAACGTTCGGTGTGTCCCGGGCCCGGCCGTCGTTTTCCAGGTCCAGGGCAAAGACCTCCATGTTCTCAGAGGGAGGAGGAGCACTGGGTCGGGTCGGCGGGGTCTATCACGTCGCTGGCGTCCTTGGCGGTGTGAGCGGCAGCCATCCCATTCACGGTCACATCCCATGCACAGTGCCGTGAAGGAGCCCTGGCTCGCATCGGTCACACCAACTCGTGGCCATCTCTCCACACCAGGCGCAGGGATCACACAGGAGGAAGGTGCCACCTTGCCGTATGCCACCTTGCCGCCAGCGTTGGACCGTATATCCGGCCCTGAGGCCAGCGTTGTTCTGGCGAGTCTCAGGGGAGAGTGAGGAGAAAGGACCAGTCAACTTGGTCTGCCACCGGTCTGCCAAAACCCTCCACCAGAAGATCCCTGGTCCTCGGCTGGAATCGTTCCCAGATAGCCTCTGTGAGGATGACCAGCTCACGGTGCCGCGTGTCCACGACCTGACCAGCATCCATCAGTGAGGCCCTAAGGCCCGCTGGCACCGAGAATGAAGAACAAAAGGAGCAACCGGACAAACCAGCTGCGGGGCCCGGCCAGTCAGAGTGACAAGAGCACATCACAACCCGTCAAATCCATGAGGCATCCATCCTGCCCAAGCAAGGACCCCAAAAGGACCCAGAACACCAAAAGGAAAAAGGGGAACCCCCAACCCGAAGAAACCCCGGAAGACAACCCCCCAGAAATCCCAGCAGAGCAAGGCACGTCCTTTCCATTTTGAGCAGCCCAAGGCCGGAAGTATCCAAAGCAAGCGTCTGAGGCGCCTTCCCCTTCTGTCGCCCTCGATGTTCAGGTTCAAGGAAGGGAATCGGCACCTGAGGCAACCGTACCCCCCCCGTCCCCAAGCATCGAGGCTGTACTGGGGAGGCAGTGCCCCCAAATTTGTTGAAAGAAGAGATGTGGCACCCCGTAAAACAGCCCAAAGGCTCCACGAAAAGGCGCCGACATCGATTACGCCACCGTTGACGTGCCATCCAGGTAGGAGATCACAAAGATACCCCCCCAGGTCAAGGAGAGTGGTGTCCTGCTGGTTCGGGGTCTCCATCAGCGTCCGGAGGTTGCAGATTGCCATGCCAAGCTTGGTCAGGACTGTCCTGACAGTGGGTACATCCGCATACTCCTTCAAGACGTGGGCCATCTTTTTCTTCTGGACCACAAGGAGGAGCGGGAGTGCGTCTCTCTCGCAACAGGTGAAAATGTCCGCCCCCTGGTTCTTGAAAGCAGTCGAAGCCGCATCATTGGAAGCGGCCCAGGCGACAAGCTTCGAATGGCACTGGAGCACTGCGAGGGCAGCCCCCGCAGCCGCCCTGAGGACCTTCCCTCTGTGGGTCTTGTTCTCCAGGTTCACCGCCTCGGCAAAGGTGGCCGCACCCTCAGACTGGTGGGCCGCGTCCTCCAGGGTGATGCGGGCATTGGCCATGTCCGGGCTAAAGACCACTCCGCATTCGTGAGGCTTCTGCTCCGGCCTATAGTCAGAATCAAACCTTGGGCAATCTAAGTCCGAGGCAAAAAGGAGTCCACGGGACGCCATCTTCTGAGCCAGGTCCTCCGAGGAGTACGCCTCCTCCCCCCGGCCAACGGCACCTGAGGCAACCGGACCGGGTGAGGAGTCACTCCCCATCGGACCGGCAGAGTTGATGGCAGCAGAAAGAGCAGGGCCCGGCAACTTCCTCTCATATTCCGTCTGGGGCCTGCCGAACTTGTACTTGAAGTCCTCCCTAAAACTATTCGAGGTGTTCTGCCAGGCACCCTCCACCAAGCGCCAGGAGGATCCATCCGGGGCCGGGGCCTCGATAGAGGCATTGCCTTCCCTGACAGGCAGCACCGTCTTGTTGCACAGAAAGCAACGAACCCTGAGGGCAGAAGCAAACCTACCCCCACAAGAAGGGTCCGGGCAGATGTAAGGAAAGGGCGCGGTCGAGGGCCTGGGCACCGTGGCTGTTCCAAACCCTTGGCCCTGCTTCTTGAGGATTTCCTCATGGCGGAGCGTCGCCATTCTGCTGCGGAGGTGGCCCCCGACATTCAAGATCGCATCCTCAAGGAGCCCTGAGTTCTCAGACTCCACTGCGGCCACCATCTTCTCCACCACAAGTTTTGGCAGGGAACGGAGGATGGTTGCCACGTCACTGCGGAAGAAGCGGTCCGGCATCACGTCCGGGGAGACCAGCCTGTAGACCGCCTTGGTGGCGTCCACGCACTGGACCACCGCCCTGTCCGTGCCCATCAGTTCATCTTTCGTCAAAGACGGCAGGGAGAGGATGACCGTGCCTACGGTTTTGAAATCCAGCTTGTGCTTCATGTGCATCAAGCCGCTCACAAAGAGGCTCGGGTCCTGGTGGAACTCCTTAGATGTGGCATCCACATGAGAGAGGATCTTCATGCGGTCCTCCCGTCTAAGGCAGTTCCATCTGGCCAAAACTGTACTGGAGAGCTTTTGGCCTTTCACCATGCCCACCTCTTCCGGGACGGTGCAGTACCATCTGCACACAGCCCCCCACCATGGGTGGGACTGGCTAAACAAGTCCATGACCGAGACAAAAGGGAGCTCCCTCCGGAGCATCACAACCCGATCTTCGATCTGCTCTTGAACCCAGGCCTGTAGATGCTCGATGTCTTCATGTTCCAACCATGAATAATCACCCGAGGTGCTTGGCACCGTGATCGAGGGTGCCTTGTCAGCCATGACCCAGGAGCCATTGACCGAGTCGAGCAAGCCCGGCTCCGAAGGAGCCCCATCCTGATCTGCCGGGGGGACCCCCAGGGGGCGCGTCCGCCATGGCAAAGTCTCCATCCGCTGCCAGATCCTCCGGCTCCACCATCTCGACATCCAAAGCTTCAGGTGACACCCCCTGGCAGGGACTATCGGCACCTGAGGCAACCGCGTCCACTACCACAGGAGGCTTGCCTGAAGCAGAGGAGTCGCGGCTGGAGGTCAGCAACCGGTTGCGCTTGGTCTCATCGTACATATCCAGGAAAAGACGCTGGAGGATGGGGTATCCCTTGAGGAGACCCACCGTGTCACAAGCTCGAAGTGTTTCTATGACACCGGCTCGCTTCACCTCGTCTGCTGTCTGTTTGGTGACCTGGGCGAGCAAGGCTGTCACATCTTCAAGGACCACACCATCTGCAGCACCTGCAGGGGCTGCTCTGGACGGGATGGGGACAGCTTCTGCCTCAACACCTTCCTGCGGAACCACAGGGGATGAGAACTCGTCGATCTCAAAAAAACTCTGCTGTACTCGCTGTGCTGCCAGGTTCTGTCTAATCTGGACAGGCACATCATCATGCGAAGCACGCGGGGGAGTCGCCATGACCAGCAACAGAAAACAATCAACCAAGAAAAAGAACAACACGGGAAACAACCCCGCGGTACCGAGACCCGTCGCGAGTCTTGAGCCAAAATGGCAGCCGGCCCGAGCAGGATGCAGAGGGAAGGCTGTAGGCTTGGCCCTATGACATGCGAGTTGATCAGTGCAAGCACGGATTCCTCTACAATTGTTCTGGTTTCTTCTTTACTTCCAGGCTCATCTGCCCTCTACCTGTCGCGATGGTCTTCTTCCACTGGTACTAGACGCTGCTTTGGACCCGCTGCGCATACACACCACCACGTGGACCCCCTTTGGACAACACACCCAACTGACAACAACGGAAAGCACGTATTGCACGGATAAAGGGGGCACACACAGAGCCCGCACACGCACAATCCTGGTACACGGGCGCCTGTCCTTCTTCGTGCGCTTCATGATGTCTTGTTGGCTGTTGGAGTGTGACATGAGATGAGGTGCGGGGGCATATGGTGCCTACGAAGAAACCCTATCAGTTTCACCATGGTGCAGAATCAATGCCCGAGCTAGCATGTGCCAGTGACCACGAACACAAAGCCTGGCCTCCGCCTGCTCCTGCTGCTCTTGCAGAGCCCTGGCGGACATGGTCGGGTTAGCTTTTGCGCGCGGAGTCTGTAGCTTCAAGAGAAAGCGTCTCGTTGCAGACATAAAGGCCTGTGTAAACAAGTTGAGACAGCACTGATCCCAGCCTGATGTACTGATACTCTGCCTCGATATCCTGGCACCATGCTTTTCTCTGGACTTTACATGTTGCTCATCATGCTCAACTCAAATTCCTGCTTGATGTTCTGCAAGTACTTCGGCACCTTTCCATAATCCTCCTTCTTGAGATAATCCTGCACACGTCTCTGTGAAAAGCACAACGTCTACCACCTCATTTCTGCCAGTCAGACAACTTACAGGAGTCCTTCGTGCCCTCCGGCACCTTCTTCGGAGCTGCCAGGATCACCTCCACGGCATTCGCTACCTGATACCATAGGACGAGATCCATCAAAAGAGACATCCAAACTCTAGGCCACTAGGCCCAGGCCCCTACTACCATGCTGTGTGCGTGCAAGTATCGACGAAGTTCTTGCTGGTAACCAGATTCATTACTGGCTGTTCGGAGGCTTTTGGAACTCCTCCACGTGTTTGCTCTTTCCTGAGCATGTTTGCGAAAACAGTCCAGTCCCCCACCCCACCCGCAGCCCCGCACACTGCAAACGCAAACTGGACCGAGAAGCAGCTGCTTCGGAAGCAAGGCTTCGGGATGCTCTTTCTTCATTTCTTTCAACGAAAGTACCTCGAGGTCCAGATTCTACACCATTACAGAAGTACTGTGCTGGTCCACGGCCTTGCCCCCCGTCTTCTCGCTCTTTCTCAAAAAGTTTCCCGGATCATCACCTGTGCGGCAAGTCCTTTTGCAGCTGTCTCGAAAGCTTCGAAGGTGCTCAGCATGCAACCCAGGGACAGTATTGACCTTTGGGCTTCCCGAACGACGAGTGGGACTTATCCGCAACTGGCCTAGGTTTGATGCGTCTGGCATGTACTGCGAGCCGACAGAATCCAAGCGCCGATCTTCTTGTCCAGTCCACCACCAATGTTGGCTACCTCGGGAGGCGTCGATCTTCTGGAGAGTGCGAAGAGCGTCTACAGCCGGCCGTTTCGTCAGAGCTGAGACATCCACATTTGGACAAGTCGTTCCCTTTGCTGCAAAGGTGGAAGCCGTCGGAGGAAGTTCGGAAGAATGCCTTTGCTCAGCAAGCGAAACTAAGTGTGTGTAGGATGCAGTTCCAGCGGGTGGGATCCCGTCATGCAGCTCAGGCTCTTCGACTTGTACATCGGCGGGCGGTCCTGTCACTTTCAAGCATCGAAGTCCAGCAGATCAGGTAGCTCTAGGCTCTAGGCTGATGTCTTCTCATTGATGCATGGGGAGAAACAGTATGATTCACGACGTTGATACGAAATTATCTCACTCCGGCCTGTGCAACCTGTTTTGGTGGGATGATGTTGTAGATCGATTCCTGGTGCATCCTGAAGGGCCACGGACTGACCGATCAACAGCCACTCGCTTCGCTCATTCGTTCCGAATCTGCGCCAAGCTGCATCAGCATGTTGGCAGAAGCTGCTGCAAAAAAAGCGTTCTGTGCTCTCTCTCTCTACCCCAATAAAAAAGACCTGAGTTTGAGCCAAAGAAGCAGCACAACGGCTGCCTGAGTCTTTCAAGCGAACCAGCTGGCGTAATCTCCGCAGCAACAAGGCGCTGTCTTGCCTTGGAGTAGCCACAGCGGGTTCTCAGCGCTTGCAGCCAGTTGTCGAAAGCTGCAGCCTGAAAAGCTTACTTCCAACAGTTGCTGCGAGATTCGCAGAGCCAACTGCGGGGCTGGCGAACGCGGGATCGAGAGTCTCTGTTAGGTTAAGTGCGGAAAGGGCAAAGCTGCAACAACCTTTTGTCACCGTGCATCGATGGGCGTGTCAGGCCGAGCATATGTGCACGCTGCTGGAGATGCTCGAGGATTGTGGAGAACGATGAAATCTCCCGGTTCCCGCAAATCCATTATGCAGGCGATTCTTCCTTCGATCTCTGGATTTCGCCTCGCAGAGCGGAAGAGAAGAGAAGAGTACATGACGACCGCACGGCGAGCAGCTCTCTGTTAGCTCGGTCTCTGTCTGCGTTGCCGAGGTGCTGTCCCTTGTGAGACGTAGGAGGAGCTCTGGCAGCGCTGCTCCGATGAGACCCGCAAGGGCAAAGGTGGTCCCTGCCGGAGTTCCTCGAAGCGACTCACACTCACACGCACAGAAATCTCAAAAGCGAGAGTGCGAAAGATGCTCCTGTCCGCTTGCACCAGGAATAATAATTGCCGTAGAACACCTGAGCTCCGATGTCCGATAACCATCAGATCGTTGCATGAGAAGCGCTCAGAGCTGCCCAACGTTCAAGCAAGACACTGTTGCGACCGCGCCAGCCAGGGCGCGCAGGTTGTTGGTCCAGGCGGAAAACTCACCTTGGCACAGTTGCACTCCTTCCCAAAACAGGGTTCGCTTCGGAGTATCGGCGCCCAACCTTTGCCGAAGCCTTCAGACGTGGCCAGGTCGGCACTGATGGACTTCAGGGCGGTGGCACTAGCGCCGTTGACGCCTGGAAGCCTTGGCCGACATTCAGCTGAGCTCGGCTTTCTCTGTGGCGTTTGTGGCTAAAGTTAAAGCGAGACTAATGCCGTCCGTGATCATCGGAATGATCGCCAGCAGGAAGATCCAGGATTGCTCTTTGGCACCGCGTAGCAGGAATCCCGAAAGATTCAGCATATTCGTTGCCTGCACTGCACTTGCAGGTGGACTAGACAATCAGCGTGAAGTGACAAATGAACCTCCTAGGACCCAGGCATGCCCCAGCAATCCATTACAAAGCCATGTTGCAGATGTGAAGCCGCGGGCACTGAGGTTTTTGAGGAAGTAGGGAGTCACATAAATACCCGAAAGGATGCTTAGCATGCCATAGATCATCACAAAGTTGCGGCTTCCCTCCACGGTCCACTTAAGATGTTCCCTTTTCCAGAGCTCCACCAGGTCGCTCAAGTTCTTCCCCTCTAAGAACATCTGCAAGGTTTGAATACAAATCATCTTCTGCAGGCCGACAGATCCCCTGCGGAAGATGTTCCTGAGAAGGCAAAGGACGTGGACGATGCGCTTCGAGTCGCAGGCATGCACAGCCCAGCGGAGTTTTGCAACGAGGGCACAAGAAGCCAAACGGATTGATAGAAGACAGCCTCTGCATGCACTTTGGATACACGCCGCACACACGGGGATCTCTACAGTCTACAGCGCATGAAGCCAGAGCACTGCATGGCAGATGCCAGGGTTTTCCTCTGTGCACGTCGAAGCGTTTCCGGCACCGAAAACCCCACGAATGCCGCATGCACCTCGGCCCAACTCACCCAAGCCTCTGCTCGCCCTTCTCTGCATGTCCCGAGGCATCATAGATTAAGGCACGAACGCATCCTAGTGCGGACAACCTGATCGAACAAGGTGAGGCTCAGCATGCAGCATGCAACATGCACCAACATGGCGTTGTTCGGCTGCCGAACGGCAGCCTTTGCAAACGAGGTGCGCCAAGTACGCGGTTCGCGGGCTCTTTGATCTCTGCAAGAAGAGAGCCTCCTCCGTCATACGGTCAGATTTGAAGCAACATTCAGGAAAGCTTGGGCAGAAAAATTCCCTGCTGTGCATGCAGTGGCAGTCCACAAACGGCGTAATGACTATGCCCGCACCGACAGCAGCCCCTCAGCTCATCATGTTTGATTGGAGGCATGGCTTTGAAATGTACGGTTTGCGTAAAGCTGCCCATCTTGCTCAAGGCAGCACCCAGCTCGGCGCCCTGGGCCACGTCTGACCTGGAATGCTTGACTCTACCAGAGACAAGACGCGAAAGACCATGCTACATGAATGTAGCACTGCTTGAAACGGCTGCAGATTTTCTTTCAGGCCGTGTCAACAATCAATTTATATCAATTTGCCCCACAGTGGTCTGAACGAGATTGAACTGCACTGTACTGCAGGTCTGCACTACCCAAATGGAGGATGTGTCGCATTGCTTGCCTGTAAACTGTAGGTGAAAGATTGAAAGTCTTTTGAACTTGAAGTCTGCCAGGCTTTTGCAAGTGCCGTCTGCCCCGCGTCACGCGACCTGTGTTCTTCGTTGAAGCACTGATCCGGTGCAGTACTCCTGTTTGTCGCAATCCTCCACGTGCACTGATGATGTTTCCAGTAGTCCAAGTTCCCTGCAAATCCCTGCAAGCCATGAATCCCGTATAGCCTATAGCTGTAGTATCGCTACTGCCGGCATGCTCGCAAGAAACGACCCAACCAAGCTCACGCATCTACCGCAAGCCTACATCGTTTTCAATAGCTAAAAACCAAAGTGTATCACAGCGCGTGGTAATAAGCCAAGGCACAGCGCCGCTGTCAGCATCACCGTGCTGGAGAATGTGGTCAGGATTGCTCTCAGAACTCGTACTGGCCTCACATGGGTAATACGTGCCCAAATCCTTCCCCCGAAAGCTTGGCGATTCCTGAGCCGTCAGCAAGACTATCCTGCGCTTCTGGGAGTTTCGAAATATCATCAAGCCTTGGCAGAAACCCACAGTGCCAGGTTGGATCTGCACCAGGACAGCTATGGCATGCTACCTAGCAGCCAAACAGAACGTTTGCCAAAGGCCCCAGAGCGAGAAATTGCTTTCTTCCCAGAGCATCTGAGAATTTGCCACCAATCCTGAGTGATCTTCAGAGCTAAAGCAACCTGCGAGGAGCTCTTCTACACCGGTGGCACCAAGCAACAGCACTGTAAAGAAGCCCCTATTGAACATGCCGACATTGCGAACCCACGTGCATTGAAAGTCTCTGGTTGACAATGATGCCCAGCACACCAACGAAGCCTTGCGTGTTGGCAAGCAGCTTGGCAGTGAGCCCTATGTCGCCACCCGCGAGCTCCTGCAACACGTCGTAAAACTATCTAAAGCCCGACATGACGCAAAAGGCTTCTGAAACTGGGGAACTTAGGTCCTTGACGAGCAGTGGCTCCGACTGAATGGTGATGACCGTCTGTGCCACGCTTAGGAACGCTGAAATGTACAGCTTCTTCATGGCAGCCTTCCTGGAACATGGCTGTAGAGAACTTCGTGGTGCGGCGATACGAAGCTCTTCATGCGACCGACTGGGGCTTCAAGCGGTTTGACCAGTTGCCAACAAGGCACTTCTCTGCCACATCGCTTTCCTTTGAATTAGCCACCATGGCGGTATTTGCTAACTGAACCAATAGCTAGTTCCGCGAATAGATGGCCATGTTTCACTGGGAGGTTGCAAGTTGTACGAATGCTAGTGCACCTGTTTGTTGCTGTTTTAATCGTTTTTGGAGCCACGCGGCAGCTCGGAGAACAGCGCTAAGCGGGACGACCTCCATCTTGCATGTCTGCAGCTGCATGCCAAACAGTTGTGGAAGCCATGCTCGGCAGAAACATGCATAGATGCAACTTTGGAAAGCAATTAAAAAGTGTGCAGCACAAAAGACACTCTCGTGTAGCATTGTGCAAAGCCAACTCTTGACATTTCATGCACTTAGGCTTCAGCCCAGTCGTCCTTTGTCAGCGGCTTGCTATGATCTTCAGCACCTCGCATCGAGAGCCCCCCAAAGCAACGCACCAGAGCACAGCTTCGAAATCTGAGCAGCTCGGAGCTTCATCCCTTTAGAAGACGACGGCTGCAGCAACGTCCGAACACAAATCAGCATCTAAACCTTTCCATGCCGCATACACACTGAGCTAGCAACGACCAGAGGCCCGTCGTATGTGGGTCCATAGAAGCGGGAAAACCCTCGCAGGGAACTCCCACCTGACGGTCTGGACGTTAGATTGTGGCTATGGCAGCCAGGTAGTCCTACCCAAAGCCGAGGTGAATGTGTTGTGGTTGGGATCTGCATGGTGGAGACTTTGGTCTCAATATTTCAGAGGCCTGCAGGCCAAGGACTCGGCCTGCGGTTGCTCCGACGTTTGCAGTTTCTTGCAGTTGTGATTTGTGGCTTCTGTGATGCCTAGGAATTATTACTGTTGGCATCCATGTCGCACCTGTCTTCCAGAAGCTGCAGCAAGGCGGGAAGCTTGCTGAGGTCCCCGTCGAAGCGGTCATAAAGCCTCGGACACTGTCTCCCAACTCTCGGAAACTGTTCTCACGAGCCCTCACTCTTTCCATGGCTCTATCTAGTACTGCGTGTGTTGCACACGTACTTCAGGGCAAGTCAAGAGAAGCTTCATGCTCAGGCCCGATTGCTGTACACGTCTGTACACTGTACCAGCCCTTTCGGCTCGGAGGGGCTCATTCAACCCAACAGCGAGCTTCCCGTTGCCATGGGAACTCTTGCCGCAGCATGGCGACCAAGACACGTTCGTGTCCAAATGCCCGAGATCCATCTTTGTATGCCTTCGCGATGGCACCTCTCTCTTCGGACATCGGAAACCCATCCGGGCCGAGGAGCAGCAGGTTGAAACCTTCAGCAACCAGGTCTTCCAGAAGCTGGAACTCTTCAAGGCTGGAGAGGGCTCTTTCGTAGGCAGTGCAATAGAAGGCTCTAGAAGGCACGTACGGAACAGTTTCAGCCAGACCGAGGCAAGAGCCCGCGATTTTTGCATCCCGATCCAAATATCGCCTCTGAGGCTTTCCTTTCTTATAGATTTCAGCGCGCCGCACGAAGTAGGAGGGCCAGTCCTCTCCTTCAGCAACTTTCGCTGCCTGCCAAACGAGTTCCAGGGGCTGGTCCATGGGCAGTGGCTTCCCTCCCTGCTTACCATCCTCTGTCGCCCAACTGATCATCTTGCCAGGAACCTTTACATTGAAGGGCGAGAGTGCATTGCCGATACCTCCTTTTCCTTTGCTGACAAATATGGGCATGCTGTCGTTTCGATACGGCATCTCGTCCTTACGCTGGCCTCTCCAGATACAGCCACATCGAACGGTACCTCTTGCTCCGCTTGCCTTGTTGGCTTTCCTTGCCTTTTCCACGTCGAAGTTCACTTTGCAGACAATGCTGTCAGGCCTGACGCCCCGCTTCAGGCAGGCTTTTCGGACCAGATCCTTCTCCTCGATTGGATGCAGTCGGCTGAAATCAAGCGATGGCCCAAGTTGCAAGCGAATAACAAGTAGTGTTGCGGCCATCTTTCCAAACTGCAGGCGAGCATCCGCCATCTTTCTGCGTGGGGGTCTCTGGAACTCTGGAAAAGAGGAGAGGAGAGGCAACGCTTTCAGGGAGCCAAACAAATGCGCAGCGCACGAGTCGCGCCAAGCAATACACTGTTATGACTCACTGATTCGCGTTCCTCGGCTGTGAGCCAGGCTGACCGGCAACAGCCCGGGCACTGGAGTCGGTAGCCAGCAGTACATCCAAGCCTCGGACAGCTTCTGCACTCACAACCCAACTCAATTCAAGTTGCAGGGGCCCCAGCGCTGCCGAAACTCCCCTGCTCGACCCCTTCGCTCTCGCTTGAGAGGCCTTCCAGCTTTTGAAATCAACCTAGAAAGCGGCCATGCTGAAGCGGCTTCGGGGCTGGAAGGATCTTGCCACAGGCCTGTCCATCAGCATCAACGTCTTGGATCGCGCAGCACCTTACTGTAGGCAAAGTGGACAAAATCGTGGAAGACACCTCCAGCCCCAAAAAGGAAACGAGAAGCGCGGGCTCCTGCCAGTAAGACCTTCCCTCTGGCCCGGAGGCAGTCTGCGCGGGTGTGCACTTGCGTGCCCCTCGATCCGTCCCCACCTTTGGCTTAGCCATCCACCCTGTTCCCCGGCATCAACAGTGACACCCTATCAGGTAGGCTTTCCAGCATCTCACAATCTTCCATGTCATCATCCATTCGGATACTGTGTGTAATTTGTTCTCTGCGCATTGGTCGTTATGTCTGGTCCTGCAGCTAGCCCACAGCGACCGCGTGTAGATGAACTTTCTAATGCAATGCTGGGCCTTAACTCGTGGGTTCGAGACCCGTGTAGACTTTCAGTGATCCTCCTGACCCGTCCGAGCCGTCGCGAAAAAAACGGATGAACGGCGATCTCAAGCTGTTGTACCACTCCACACGGGCGCTCTGCAGTCCTGCGAGCAGCTCCCTTAAGCTCGGAGCTCTGGGGGCGACCCGCATTGGCTGCCTGGACACGGTGGTAAAGACTTGGCAACGATTCGCCAAGCAGTTGCCGTTTACACTCTCAGTCGGCGACGAAGCTCTTCAACTCTGCTGATGAACCCTGCAAATAAGCAGGCGGCACAGCTTCCGAGACGATATCTCGTCATCCATGCTTGCTTTGCAGATTGGCTTCCAATGGGAGTTGGAACGATGATGAACTTCTGCAGAAAAGCAAGTGGCAAGCCTTCTGCGAGAAGCTGGCTTTCCTGGCAGTTCGTGTGTCATTCTGCCAGGCAGAGCACAGCATGGCAGCATGGCATTCGCTTCCATGTGTTGCAAAGTGTCCCAACGGCTTGCAATAATAATTTTATAAGCCTCTGCACAGGAGTACGTGCAAACCTGTGCAATATCTCTACTTACGGAAGTCTTTTCCCTGATCCGCTCATGCCCAAGTCGGGGTCCCCACCTCTGGGTGCTTCTCGGTACTTCCGGCACCTGAGCGTTATCATTGAGGTTCTATCTCCTACCGCCTAACAGCCACCGGTCGAGTTCCCGAGGCTTGCACACCAACAGGACCTGTCAGAGCAAGAGTCATGTCATTGGGTGCAAGGGCTCTTCTATTCATCTGCAGTCATCGCCCTCGGGATGCGGCAACCGGAAATCTCTTCCAGCAGAAGGCCTGAAGCCTCGGTCAAGACCTGGCGCAGAATAATGCTTTGGCGCCGTACTAGGCTCTTCCGAGGCAGATCAGCACCCCGCAGCAGAGCACGCAACTAAGCGAGCAAGCCGCACCGCAGTTGTGGCACCAGCCACCCTAAAGTGAACAACAATCATCCGGCTGCATGCCTTCCAGCAAACTGGGCTTCCCTGGCCTTCCCAAATATGACTGCGTCTTCTTGCCTCTCAAGGTCTCTGCATTACTTCGCGCATCCTCAAATCAACTTGTTCGTGCCTTCGAGAGTGCGCGGCCGCCCCTCAGCACCTTGTGGCACCAGGAAACGTCAAAAACATCGGAAGACTCCGAAAAGGTATATTTTCCTTGCAAGCTTGTCACGAAGCCTGGCCGGCTTGGTCGGGCTAACTGCCACTCAAAAGAGCAAGCTTGCAGATGTGTCCCTGTAAGAGGTTGACGACAATAGTGAATTGATTAGGCAGGACCGGAACAGCCCATGCTGCGCGATGCTGCAAGACCTGTACAAACTCGTCGCTGCCACCCCGAATTCGGGGCTGCAGTTTTATTTAAGGTGCGAGCAAATCAAACTTCGCGTGTTCCCCGGATGCCTGCAGACAACGTGCAGCACGCCGTCCACGGAAATGAAAGTTGCCAGCAACAGGCATTTGAGGGCCGTGCTGAGCAGCCAGAAATCCAAACGTGGAACTCGCCAGGTTCAGCTACGAGCTTGCCATCAGCCCCGTGGAATGTCAGGTCGTGCCTGAGCTTTTTCGGTTCGGCAGTACAGAAATGGTAGATACGGATGGTTTTGAACTCTGAGCCCTCGGCCTTGAGATCTGAAACGTGAGAGTCTTTGTCTCGCCAGCTTTCAAGAGCACCTGTCACACACAGCCGTCTGAATGCTCGCACGCGTGCGAATCCCCGGCCTTCTGAAAACCTTTCAGCTCTCGCACCGGACGCACCCGACTTGCAACACAGTCGTGCACGTACAGCTGCGCCACTTTCTCGCCAGCCAACGCGCCTGAGCTTTCAGCTGGCGCGACGATGGTACAGGCACTCTTGGATCCCAACGTAATTGGGGTCACTTTTGATGCGTCCAGGTTGCCAGTGTTGCTCACCTTCGAGGAGGTGGCTAAGGAATACACAGGTCGTTCCCCAACACACACCACTACCACTACGTGCATCTCTGCAGAAAGTGCGCGGAATCCTAGCAAGCGCCTCTAGACTCTCTCTACACTCTCTAAGCTGCTAGACTCTGCAAGAAAAATGGGGCTGGGCTGGGGGCGCCTGTGCCGTCACCTGAAGGGTTTGGTCCCAGCCCAGCTTGTTGGTGCTGAGGTTTGGCTTGGTGAAGGAGAACTCTGTGTAGCTCAGGCCATAGCCAAACGGATACAAGGCTTTGCTCGCCACTTCCCTCCAACTCGCTTTGAAAGTGCGAGGTCCATCGCCTTGTGGGCGTCCGGTCCGCGGAGCGTTGTAAAACAAGGGTTGCTGCCCCGAGTCTGCAGGGAAGCTCACCGGAAGGTGACCTGCAGGGTTGTAGTCACCGAACAGTACGTCTGCAATCGCAGGTCCAGTCTGGGTACCCAGAAACCACGTGACTAGAATCGCTTTTGCGTCCCGGACAGCTCCATAGAGTGCGAGCGCCCTTCCCGTCCGTAACAATACCACAACAGGCGTTCCTGTTGCTGACACTGCTTCGGCCAAAGCCTGCTGCGCTGGCGGGATGATGATCTGAGTGCGGGATTGCGACTCACCAGAGAAATTCTCCGGCTCTCCGACGGCGAGGACAACGACCTCAGCCCTCTTTGCTGCCGCCACAGCTTGATCAATTCCTCCGTCTAATGCAGTCTCAAATTCGCAGCCCGGCACAATCTCAAGGTCATCGGACGTGGACAAGGCTTTGCGCATGCCAACATCCAGCGGAACTGCTCTCTTCTTGTCGCCGTATACTGTCCAGCAACCTTCAAGGTTCTGCGCATCCGTCGCAAAGGGCCCAATCAAAGCTATCTTCTGTCCAGATTTCTTCAGAGGTAGCACTTTCGAGTCATTCTTGAGGAGCACGATGGACTTGCGGCCAGCCTCTCTGGCCAGCGGCTCGTGATCTGCTCGCAGCTTGTCTAACTTCTCATCAAGCTTTGGGTATAAGCACTTGTACGGGTTCTCAAACAAGCCAATCGCTTTTTTGATCTTCAGAATGCGTCGAACTCCTTCATCAACCTCCTCCATGGACACATCCCCTTTGGCGACCAGATCTTGCATGTGCTGCACATACAAGCCGCTCTGCATGCTCATGTCCACACCTGCTTTGAACGCGAGTCGAGCGGCATCACGCCCATCCGCAGCAAAGCCATGGCAAATAAGCTCTTCGTCGGCCGTGTAGTCTGACACAATGAAACCTTTGAACCCCCACTCGTTGCGCAACACCTGCGTACATAGCCACCGGTTTCCTGATGCTGGCACGCCGGCAATGTCGTTGAAGGCACTCATCAACGTCAAAGCACCCGCATCTATGCAAGCCTTGAAAGCAGGAAGATGCACATCACGAAGGGTCGCTTCAGAAATCTCCACGAAGTTGTAGTCCATGCCTCCCGAAACCCCTCCATAAGCAGCGAAGTGCTTAGGTGTTGCCAGCAGGCTGTCCTCAGCACGTAGATCATTGCCTTGGAAGCCTCTGACTCGTGCAACTCCAAGAAGTTTGCCCAGGAAGACATCTTCTCCAGAACCTTCCGCGACTCGTCCCCACCTCTGGTCCCTGGCGACATCAACCATGGGCGCCTGCAAGAACTGCATGAGAAAGAATTGCAATTGCGATCGTCTCATGACGTCTTAATTAAGCGACATTGTACATTGATAAGCTGGGCCGGCCGAACGGCCGAAAGCACGCAAGCAGAGCAAGAATGAGTGTCCGGCAAAAGTCCAGTGAATGCCGGATGCCGTGGTCTCCAAGGCCGTCGCGCGCGCTGTCTTCTCGGCCAAGTCTGGATCAAAGCTCGCCGCTTCGCCCAGTGGGATGGGAAAGACCGTCCACATGCCATGAATTACGTCCTTAGAGCTGAAGATGCAAAGCCCCAAAGCCAAACCCTACGCACTAGTGCCACGAAGCGTCGCTGCCAAAGATGAGGGGGATCCCCAGGCGTGTCTCCTCGACCGCGAGGCGTTGTGCCTCTCGGCCCTCCTTCTCAAGGCAACAGGCCAAACGGAAACTGAAGCCATTAATGTGTGAGTCTGTGAGAATTCTATGAGAGGTGCTGTGACCTGATTTGGGTCCCTGCTCCTTGACGCCGACACCGTTAAAGAGAGAGCCCACTCGGCTCTTGCGAATTTGCTCCACCATTTCATGAGCCTGCCGGTGATTGACCTTGCAGGCGAAACTACGCCAGACGATGAAGAAGCGTGACACTCTGGCAGCATCCTTCATCCTCTTGCCCCTATCATGAAATAAGAGAAATCTCCTCTGCCTCCGGATTGATATCCGGATTGCAGGGCCGGACTGTGTCAGCCAAAATCGTGAGCTGACCTGCTTTCTCTTCAAGCGTCATCTGCGAGATGAGCTTTTCCTAGGATATGCCAAGCTTTAAGCAAGCATCATCCGGAGAAACCCATGTGTCGCTTCATCTTGGGATTCTCCCAAGACCTACTGACCCTGGACCTTGCCACACACAATCACACCGGCGGAAAGCTGGCGGACAATGACGTTGCTCTTGCAGAAAGGTGGCAATATGAGGATCATCACGAGCCAGCATCGTGACCTCGACTTGCCACTGGCATGCAGGCTCGTAGCAAATGCTTGAGATTTGCTGGCGAAAGGACCAGAATTGAACCGAGTTGGCTACTCCTTCGAGACCGCCGGCAGAATTACACGTAGGTCCGTGAAAGATGGCCCTCTGTTCTGCAAATCTAACTCTGCGAAACAAAAAAGGTTCTAACCGAACCTCCACCGACAGAACCTCACCGTGTCGTGTTTCGTACGTCTGGGGAAAGCCCAAACAAATAGATACTGTATGTGTGTGTATATATATATATATATATATGGTACCCCCCCCCCCCCCCCGTGTACCTACCCTTTTCCTGTCCTTCCTGTTCAGGTACGCAGCTCAGCACGCTGATTCTGCACTACTTCGACCAGGGGTTTGCTTGCACTTGTGTTGTAAGCGTGCGAGATCGTGCTCTTCCACACAATCCCAAACCCGCGATGCTCTCACGCACAGTCCGCGATGCTCTCACGATCGTGCTCTCCCACACAGTCCCTAAACATGTTCATTGAGACAGTCCCAAAAAAAACAAAATACCAAAGCCCATAGGCCACGACATGAGCAAATCCCTTGAGACAGTCCCAAAAAAACCAAAGAACCAACGATTCCGAAACCTATCCGGAATCGGAAATAAGCATATTTCTCGAAACAATCCAAAAAAAAAGACCAAAACCCATAGGCCACGAAATGAGCATATTCATCGAGACAGTCCCAAAAAACCCAAAAATACCAAAGATTCAGAGCTATCCCAAAAGCCATTTCTCAAGACAGCTCCAATGGCTTGGAACCTTTGGTATTTTTGGCTTTTTGGGACTGTCTCGAAGAATATGCTTGATTCGTGGCCTATGGGTTTTGGCCTTTTTGGTTTTTTTGGGACTGTCTCGAGGAATAGGCTTGGTTCGTGGCCTATGGGCTTTGGTGCTTTTGTTTTTTTTGGGATTGTTTCGAAGAATATGCTCATTTCGAGGCCTATGGGTTTTGGTGCTTCTGGCTTTTTTGGGACTGTCTCGAAGAATGTGCTCATTTAGACGCCTACGGGCTTTGGTAGTTTTGTTTTTTTGGGGGCTGTCTCGAAGAATATGCTTGGTTCGTGGCCTATGGGCTTTGGTATTTTTATTTTTTTGGGACTGTCTGGAGAAATGGCCTTTGGGATGGCTCTGGATCTCTGGTTTTTTGGAGCTGTCTGGAAGAATATGCTCATTTACAGGCCTATGGGTTTTTGTGTTGTTTAATTTTGGGGACTGTCTCGAGAAATCTGCTCATTTCCAATTTCGGACAGTTGGGCCACCAAAGGCAAATCTTTGATTGTACGAATACAGACTCTAAACAAACCTTCTAGATGAAAGGTTCGTTCATTCTCCAGCCTCGCTCTGCAAACATGTGTGTTGGTTCATATCTCAACTCCTGTCAGATCAAGCTTCATCAGCCTAATCGCATACGTCCCTTATCCAAATGTAACTCAATGAAGGCCTTTCCAGATCTTAGGCTCTTCTTGATTCTCCTTTTATACAGCGTTTATCTGCAAGGTACTCTGTAGGATACTCTGTTCTATAGGGTATTCCATGTGGTAACCAAAAGGTACATACTGGGCATATAGCAGGTATTCTATAGTGTCCTTACAAGTAATATTTGTGCATTCCAAAAGTATTTTCTATATAGGGTTGTCGTTAGGGCTTTCTTCTGGGGTATACTGCGGGAATCAGACACAGGACGTATTGTATGAGGTAGGCTATAGGGTATTGTTTTTGGTAAGGTCTATATAGGGCATACGATGTAATGTATTCTAAGGGCATATAAAAGGGTATTCCGAAAGACGGTGTATAAGGAATTCTACAAGGCATAAAAATGAACGTAAAAGTTGTATTGTAGAACGCATTGCGGGGAAGTCAAAACACAGACAAACAGAGACAGACCAACAGACAGACACGGACAAGCTGTCAGGCAGGCAGGCAGCCCGACAGACAGCCAGGCAGACAGACAGATGGACAGACGGCCATACATTGCACATACTACGCACGTACATATATATATATATATATATATGCTACCCCCCCGGACGTACCTACCTATTTGGTGTGTTTGTCTCAAAGTGCTGAACATATGGAAGTATTACACAGATTATGTGCACGCCTAGAACACAAGAGCAAACAAGCCCCTGGTTGAAGTAATGAGGAATCAACTTGATGAGCTTCGTACCTGAACAGGAGGGACAGGAAAAGGGTATCCCGACATACCTACCTGTTTGGCGTGTTGTCTCCAAGTGTTGAACACATGGACGAATTATACAGACTCTGTGAGCCAGATACAACAGCCATTGTGTGTAAGCAACCTTCCTTTGACTGTACAATACCCTTCATTAATCGTACGCCTTATGGAAGACCATCTGGAATACTCTATAGAATACCTTGAGAAACCCCCCTATGAACCTGCGTATGATAGCCCCTCTATACCGTGAATATACCCTAACACTCTAAAACTGTACAGATAACTTTTCGAATAAGGGGTATGTAAAAGGTAGGAAAGGAGTCAGGAATCGACAAGAATTGCCCATAAAAACCTTACAAAATATCCCTTCTACGGACCTTAAAAAGTTTCATATGGAGTAACCTATATAATACGTTATAGAATACCCCCCCATATACCTTACATGCATCTTATTGAATATAGCTTATGTATTACCTGAACACTGAGGGAATCCTGACAGTGGCTGCACAACTGACATCCTGAGAAGCCGACGGTCACAAGCTCGGCCGCCAAAAAAACTCACAGGTCGAAAGGCTCATGCTCGAGCCCGCGGTTGCCGTTTCGGAAGCTCGCATCCCCATGCACTTCTGATGCGGGGTCAGTCACGACCGAGGACAGCCAAGCCCTGAGATTGAAACCGCTCAGATGCCGACTCTTTGGAGTCGTCACTCCACTGAATAGCCGACTTGGCGGACTTTTCGGTGGACTCGTCGATGAGACACTCGGGCTTGCAGGCACCTGAACAGGTCACAGTGGGTCTCGTCAGTCTCGGGAACTTCAGGACATGCTCTGGTCGCGGAGCGCCACCTCCAATTGAGAGTGGTTAGAGTGGACGGCCTCAACTCTCGGACCGATGACCTGCGGAAAGCTTTTGCAATGAGCTGCACAGCTGGCATGCAATGGAACGCAAAGACGCACATGCGAGCAGTTTTTTGAAAGGAGCATCCAGCAATTAGCAGTTTGCAGCCGACCTCTTCAATTTCAAACTCTTCTATCTCGTCCAAGGTCGGGCTATCGTGTCTTGCACGAAGCGGCTCTCCTGATATGTTGCGGCTGCGTATTGCTTTCGATGAGATTCATCATGTCTGTGCCAGTGCATATGAAACACATGTCCAATGTCTGGCAGGTCATTGCCTGCCACATGGTTATCCGAGGCGGTCCTTCTTTGTGGGGGCTGCGTGCAGCCTGCAACTGCTGGCTGAAGGTTGCCTGGTCGGTGGGATCCGAAAGGGAAGTCATAGCATTGGGCAGGAAGAACCAAGCAAGGCTCAGGACCTCCAGAGCTATAATCGAAGCATCCACGTCGACCTCCTTGGTCTTTTGTTCTCTAAAGCACAAGTCCAAGAAAGGTTAATTCACACTGCATTTCAGGCTCAACCAACATCGCTTGACTTGAGTGTCAGACGGTAGGGCTGTCAACAAAGCCATTTCTGGCTTGTGACAGCCCAGATTTCATCTGTGCATGCTGACCTGGAAACAAACGGCGCGTGCTTCGATCTGCATGCCCAAATTCGCCGCGGCCCTTGCATGCCGTGGGCTTGCCGTCCAGACTGCCCTTACCAGAACCCTGAGCCCCTCGCAATCGTTGGTGGAAAAAACCCTCCACCCTAGAAGAGTTGAGTAAAGCATATCTTCTACCCAGACGTAAGAGGTCCTCACGGCTTGATTCCTGGGGCAACGACTGACAATCAGTCTTGGAATTCTGTGACTTGCGAGACTTCGTGTGGCTTCTTGCGCATGATACCGTGCATGCTCGGCAAGACGCAGGATGACAACCACGGCAAGTAAGCAGAAGCGAAAGATGAAGACAGCAACCAGGCTGACAAGCAAAAACCTGGTGTCACGCGCTACGACAACAAACAACAACAATTACAACTACAACATACTACAACCACAACTACTACTACTACTACGACGACCACCACCACCGCTGCTGCGTGGTAGCTTTGAGAGCCCTGTTTTGGATCTAGCTCACTGTCAAATGCGGCTTCGATCCAAGACCCTCGCTTCCACACTATCATGCGGCACAGCATTGCCCGCAACTTTGCCGACGAGAAGTGAATACACCGACAAAGCGTCCCCGCACAGTCACTCTCTCTTGTCCACAGCTGAGCAGCCATGAGGAGAAGGCAAATCCGCTGGGATGCACGCAGCTTGAGCAACAAGTGCTTCTCGATGAGCTGTGCAGAGGTGCTGTCGCTGACATGCGTGAGGAGCTCATGGAAACCGCAGGATTGTACTGTCTGTCACCCGTGGCAGGTTCTGCGGTTCGCGTCTTTTTGCATTCTACGCCGCGTGCCGAATTAGCCACAGCCGGCGTGAGAAAGCTTGCAGGCCCAACCTGGAAACTCGCTGCGCAGTGAGGCTTGATTGAGCCAATCCCAAAGATTTAACATCGGTGGAACCGAAGTTCACATCCACGCACGTTTCTGTACACTCGCAAGGTACGAGAGCCAAGCTTGGTACCTTCCAGTTTTGCTCCAGCACGGTGTCATCCGAAAAGTGTACACAGCCAGCGTGGGCAAGCTCGTCTTACGCCCTTTGAAGCATTGGAACATGTCAAACAGTGATGGCACACACCGCAAGAGCTGGATACAGGGAACCTATCCTAGGTGGTTGCTGGGACTGCTTCCCGGTGCCTCCGATGAATTGGACACCCGTCTCATGTGCACTGGGCCCATCGGCTTCTCCTCCCCAACCAACCTCACGATCGGCGTCTGTGAAGATTGGCGGACCGACGCTAGGGC